CTTGTGAATTTTAGGGAGACACATTTCAGGCCATAACAGAAGGCCTCCTGGACATATTGTTCCACTAGCTCCTCAGAGCTCAGAGCGGTGATCTGGGAGGGAGGCAGGTTCACATATTCCTCACCACGGATTGTGAGGCTCCTTTCCCTCCATGCAGTAAGTATGAATTTCTAAGTGACTGAGACTCTGGATGGGGGAGGCCTGAGGAAAAGGCTCCCTGGTTGCTAATAGGCTGAGATAATATCATAAACATCTCAGTGGGAAGGGCCTTCTGGGAACCTCTGTCAGAGCTGAGGTGTCAAAATGGCAGGGGGTTGGGACAGACTTTAGGACAGAGATAATTAATCCTCCCAGGGGAGCTTTGGGACTAAGAAATTACCATTCTTAGTGCAGTGGTAAAGCTCATGCTGGAGCCTTCATTTTTTGACAAGAAGACTGGAAAACTCCAGTCACCCTGCATGGTTTGAGGTCTCCTGCGATGACTGCCAGGACAAGGCAACCTGGGGAAGGGCAGCTCCTGCTAGGGGCAGGCATCCCTGCTGGCTGCTGCTGAGAACAGTGTACCGAGATCCCCAGCCAGTAAGCTGGCCAAGGCATTTCTGGCAGGAGCCCACAGAGCAAGAGCCTTGTAGCAATGCCAGGAGGGACCTGAATGATGCATGGGGGCGTTGGTAATTGCGCATCTAATGGAAGGTGGTCTGCCCACCCCACAGAGCCAAGGGCATGGTAAGCCTGGAAATTAAGATCCTAAACTTGTGAAGGAGGCCAAGCCAAAATGAAGTCTTGCTAGTCCTGAAAAAGGCTGATCTTGCAGGCTCTAGCATCACAGACTGTTGTTCCTGAAGTGCATTCAAATTAGTGGTTTTCAAACCATCTGTGGAACCCAGGGTGTCCCATCAGGACTTCAGGAAGGATCTTAAAGCTCCATTCCTTTATCCAGAACACTTATATGACCATCTCTTTGTCATTTTAGACTTCCATACCAAATTGTTCAGGGGAAAAAAACCAAAGATAAAATCTGAAAGCCACTAACCATCTCTGTGTATTTTATGGATGAAGAATTTGTTCATCTAAAGAGACTTTGAACACATTCATTTATGGTGACCAGTGCTAAATTTGGGGGCTGTTTATTACTGAAGCATAATGTATGTAACAAACACTGACAAACCTAGAAACCTCAAGCCTCTTGTATTTCATTGACTAGAACGAATAGTGTTTGTGTTGGCTTGTACTGGCTTACAAAAGCAAAATTAGTTTTCAGGAAACTTGTTAATAACTTCTCAAAATGCATTGCTTCCCAATTATTCTTCCATATTTAGTAATTATCTGTGCTCTTGATAATTTATTTTTCTTATCCTACATGATAAAAATAGTGTAAAATGGTGTCCTCTACCAGATCTTTTCTCAGCTGCCCACTCAGATGATGTCTTGCTAATAATTAAAACTGGTCGTGATGAGAGTATTTATACCACAGAAATTAGCAAACTTGCCACAAATTAGGTCTTTCTTTTTTAAAACATAGGAAGTGTTAAATATCATTGGCTAGAACTGGCATAAACCTGGTCCTAAACCAGTACTTAGCAAAAGGGGAACGGATTCTCATGTATTAGCATAGATGCATCCAGATTTACTCCCTGGAACTGGACTTTTCTTTCTTGAGCACAATCTTGCCAATGTGTGCATGCAATAGGGTTTCATTAGCAAATAATGAGTGAGGGGTGGGGTAAGGAGCTGAGCTTTTGTTGGGAAACCAGAAATCTACACACACATGCTATGACAGCACATTGGGAGAGAAGTCTTTTCTGAGAGAGAAGAGCTCGGAGCCTTTGTGGGGAAGGTTAAGGTGATCTGAATTATGAAAAATGATAGAATCTTCTCAGAAAGTGCAAAAGAGGTGATAGCACCCTAAATCGAGTGAGCCATAAATGCAAGGAAGGGTTTGGAGCATATCAAAGCATTCTCTTCTAAAAGGAAGAGGTCATTGGGAGGAAGGTTGACCCCCTCTGTGGGGAAGCTTGGCATCATGCTGAGGACGCTGGACCCCTGGGCCACGGAGAGCCTCAGAGCCCCTGGGGCAGGGAGGACGTGAAGCTTGCCTTTTCCTCATCAGACAATCTGATTTCAGAGAACAGGGAAAGTGGCAGAGAGAGAGAAGTAGGGGTTGGGAAACCAGTTGGAGCATTCGGTGGGCTTTTGGGTTATAAATAACAGAGGTCATTTTGATATAGGGCATTTTAAGTGGAAAACAAAAAGATTAGCTGGACAAGTCCAATAGCCGACTCAGGAGGCCTAGACACCCTTTATGACTACTGTGGCTCATTAAGCACCTTCTGTTTGTGAGACACTCTTCACTTTTAACTTGTTTATTGAAAGATGAGGAACATTCAGAAAAATAGCGTGGTTTTTCTCCTACCTCTGCTTTCCATCCTCACGTTAGATATTCTACGCTGCCCTCTATGGTTCTGCTACCGTCTCAGCAGATCGTGGAATCATCTCTAATCCCTCTCTTTGGAATGTTGGGCACCTCGCCACTGCTTGTCTACAGCTTCCACGTGAGTCTAGAAGAGCCTGCTTTAAAATCCTTTAAAAAATCATTGTAAAACTAATATCAGGAATATCCCTTAACATCAGAGTTATTCAGTCTTCACGAATCCCTGTGATGTAAGCCCCACAGCGGAGGATCCTGGACTTGCTTTCCTTCCGCCATAGTTGGGCTCTGCAAATGAAGCTCAGGGTTTCTGTTTCCAGAAACTGTCCTCCAAAAGATGGGCCACATCTCGAGGCTGAGAATCAGGGAATCAGGCACCAAAGGCAGTGAGGGAGAATCAGGAACACGAGTGGTTTGAGATACACTGCTGAATTCTACTGCTGAGACGGTGAGCAGGCTGTGGCAGGGGACATTGACCTTCCAGAGAAGCTCTGTAGATAACAGGAGGGAGAACTTGATAAAAAGATAACAGGGAAAAGGAAACCAGGGAATTTTATACTTCAGGCTGATGGATAAGTCGTCCTGTGTTTGTCTTCTTTCTGATAATTCTGAAAACACACATCTGTTTGAAATTGTTGATAATTTGCCAAGGAGGTAAAAGCTGGTTTACTGATACTATCTCTTGGCTTTCCTGTGAGGTGGTAAAGTGTATAATTGTCCTGTTACAAATAAAAAGAGGGATAGAAGCATCTGGGACACAAAGGCAAAAATCTAGCTTTCAGATCCTGCACCAGCAGGGAGCTCAGAGCGAGCGCTGGACGCCCTTGGGCACAGACAGGGGTTGACACGTCGCATGGACCAGGACCTGGGAAGCATCACAGGAAACTAAGTAGCCACTATTGGTTACTTGGAATAGCAGATGTCACCCAATCCCAACATTTGCTGGCGGAATTGAAATGTGGCTTGACCCTGCCCCTGTTGTTTTCCAGCCATCTGATCATAGGCCTTTCCCACCTGATTTGAGCCTCAGTTTTTTCCCCAGGAAATCTGGAAACTGATACTTCATACATGTGTTTTGGAGGATTAAAATGAGAAAGCGTATGTTACGTAGGTTCATTGTTTTCCAAGAGTTACTGTCACCTGTGTCACCAGGGGCTTGCACAGTGGAGAGAGCTTCAGTCAGTGTTGGTACAGCTCTCCGTCCCAGGCCTAGAGTATTTTGGAGGGGGTTTTTGTGCCTGTTTCAAGTGGAATGGAGCTGGTGTTCCGGAAGGAGCCTCCTCCAGCCACTCTGGGAAGCTGTGATTTGGAATGGGTTGGGAGCTTGGAGATTCTCTGGCTCCCTTTTTCCTCACCTGACCGCCACCCTCAGAGCTGCCATGTGCTTCAGTGGCAGCAAACTTCTCTGACTGCAAAGTCAGGGTAAACCAATGCAATTGAGGGAAAAACTGAATAATTAAAGGAGAGCAGATTCTGACCCCTGAGTCACACAGTCTCAGACATGGAACCGCACCCCCTCACCCTGTGTTATGTGTGAGAGAAAACTGATACCCAGGGAAGGGATGCAAGGACATTGGGCTTCCAAGTGCTGCGGTGGGAGGGTGGGGTCCTGTGGGGCTGGCCTTGCACTGCACCAACAGAGTGTGCTAGGAAGCCAAAGAGGTCTAGCACACCCAGTCACACTGGGGCTGAGAGTACCAAATATGGTTCTGAGAACCAGACACAGGGAGGTGGCGGATGCAGTGTGAGTTGGTGGATGGCCCAGCAAGGCACCCTGAGGACCATGCCCCAGAGCAAATGGGTAGGAGGGGCAGCCAAGGGGGCTGAAATGTTCTTGCCTTAGTATAAATAACTGTACAATTATGGCGGTGGTCTAACACGGTGGAAGACCAAAGCAGGAAGGCAACCACCTTCTCCTTTTGCTTCAGCCCTAATTGCAACTCCCCTTCCTGTTTGTGTGCAAAGAAAATTCCAATTAGTTCCTCACACGTCATCAACATCCGCCCCGTATGCCACTTCTGATCAGAGGTCACACAACCCCGTGCCTCTCTGTATACGGTCAAAGCAGACAGCCCGACCACCATGTTGTGTGCTCCTTTCCACAGCCTCAGTAAACCTGTTCTTTTCTTACTTTTTGTTTCTCTGTTGCACCAGAGAACTCTAACAGGAGCTACATGGGCTTTGATATTTATCAGCCCTAAGGAGTAAGCCACGTTAGAGATGTAGGGATGAGTTTTTACTGTTCTCAAAGAGAACAAGACAGCAGGAGCCAAGCAGAGAGACACCCTTCCTTGTCCACCTGGTCTCAGTGTTGCTCCCAGGCACAGCACCCTCACATTAGTAGCACTCCTGATTACAATCACCGTCCCCCCTTCACCCAGACATCGGGGAGAGGAAAAGAGAGGCGGACAGGGCTGCAGAAGCTGGTGCCAGCAGAACCTTGGGTGGGGAGACAGGTGGAGGGGAGAGATGCTTATCAAAATTCTGCTCCCCTCTCCTTCCCCAGGAATAAGCCTCCCTTGTTGAGAGGCACAGTTGTGAGCGGAAAGAGAAGCCACTAAAAGCACAGGAGTCACAATGGTCACTCACAACATTTATTGAGCACTTCCGCTGTGGGGGTTATTGGGGAAACACAGCCACTGTCGCTTACCTCTTGAAGATTGCATTTTACTTGAAGGAGGGGGACAGCTGTTAAGCATACAGGGATGAGTGTAACTGAGCCTTAGAAACACAGAGCCTGCTCATTCACCACCACAGGTTTATTAGGAGAGGTTACCACGGTGATGGGGATGCAAAAAGCCACTGATACACACAATTTAATTAAAGGACAAAGATGCAACTCTCCATTCCAGTGTCCTCATTTACCACTCAGGGAATGGAGGAGACTACCAGAAGCCACTAGAAAATACCAGAAAATTGATACTTGCTTTTTTTTTTTTTTTTTTTTTTTTTTACTCTATGGCCACTTAGTACCTAATCTACTTTAGCATGAAATAAAGCCAGTTAACAGAGTATGAGAATATTATTATATTAATTTTTTTAAAAGTCAGTAAAACTAGAGTCTTCCAAAGGTCAGACACAGATCCTGAAAGTTAATAGTTTTTTTTTTTTTTTTTGCTTTAAAAAAAGACTTTCATTAAGCAAAAGACCTTCCAATAAATTAAAGAGCAAAGGAGTTTTATTGTGCTATATCTGGAAAATCAACTTCATATTTTTAAATATTTTGAAGTAGGGTTGCCAGTTAAAATACATATTGTATTTTAGGGCATGGGACATAGTGAAGCTAGAAATTTTTCATTGCTTCTCTGAAATGAGAATTAGTTTGGAGCTTGTACTTTCATTAGCTAGGCTGGGGGACCTTATTTTTAGACTAATAGATCTTGGGAAATTCCAGAAGTTCTTATTAACTGGGGGATTTGTTTTAATTATGTTAATACTGTATGAGGGGGAGACTTATTCTTCTGGCAGGAAAATTGTAGCTAATGTAACACACACTGAACTACTGATGATGTTTCTTTTGTATACCTTTTATCACGACAATTATGGCAATGAGCCTTGTAGTTAGTTAAACTTTTCCTCAGGTACCTTGAGCTAGTTGGTAAAAGAAAAATAAGATCTGGTCCGAGAAGGGACAGTCTGGCTTGAAAAGTCCCCTGGAATGGTCACATTCTCCATTTCTTCCTAGCTGATGACTGTTACACACTAGGAAGCTCATGTGACATCCGCATCTTGTGAAATGATACAATACCTGTCACCCCATCACCTCTCGTCACTCCCCCTTCCTTCCACACTGAGATTTGGTGGTGGTGATTGAGGTGATGGATGAAATCACCCCACAGTTGTCAGCTGAGGTCAGTGTACTGATGATCCCAATGGGCCAAGCAGAAAACAACCCATTTCTCAGGTGTTTGGAGGCACGAAGCTACAAACTTCCTTTGTTTTTTCTGTGTCTGTTTACTTCTTGTACCCTTAAGCAAACTGGCTCCTATCAGAGGGGTCTATACTGACTTATTTTAGCAGATAGGACAATGTTGCTCTTCAGAAAAAAAAATCTTGGCAGATTGGACTGATACATACTGTAGAGGGAACTTCCCTGGTATCTGAATGTATAACTTGTATCTTACTTTAACTTGAGATTTCTAATTTAGTAGAGAGAGATTCTCAAATTAATTTTGCAAACAAAGGTCACACAAAACCCCTTTTTTTATGCAGGAACATAAAATGGGTAACACTTGCTGAATTCCAACCTTTCTCGAGAATTCTTTGTTCTTAATGCCCCAAAGAGTACACTTATGTGTAAAAAACATAATTATATGGTTGGTTTATATATATGCACATAAAATTAACAAATTATTAGCAAATACTAAGTTATATTTAAAAGCACAGATGGTTTTGGCATTCAAAAGCTATTTGTTAATTGAGTCCATTTATGCCAGTTTCGTTTCTGGACCCGATCAAACCTGTTTAAGACTTGTGGCTAGGTACATAATGTTTGCAACTCTCCTTTGTACTTGGAGATCTTTCTGGAGAAGAGGAACTGGAGATACACATGGGCAATCAAGTTGAGGCATTGAAGTAATGGGGTTTAAAATCACCACGGAAAGGAGAAGCAGAAAGCACTCGCAATGCGCCATCTGCTGCTCTTAGCATTCCTTACAGGGAGATACTATTCCGTGCAGCTTTTCACCTTATAATCTCTTTTCTTTGTAGAAGTATGAGCTCTCTTAATGACATTCTTTAGGACATTCCTTCTGTCATTCCGATGATGACACAAGCCTATGTTTCTGAATGCCTTCGACCAAAGTTCGAGATGAAAAACACCAGACTGGTTTCTTCCTACAGAACGTGGCCATAGTACGCGGCCTCAGGAAGACGGGTGGTTGGAGCAGGTACTCGAAAGAGCGGTGGGCTTCCTGGGACACAGCAGCCCCCGCAGCTCTGCACAAGCAGAAGCAGCAGACTATAGAAAGGTGTCACTCTGGAGAGTGATGTGGGGTGTTCCAGAACTGCCTAATGCTCTGTAGGGTCCACATCTGCATTTGAACATATGCTTGACAATTGGATTTGCAGCATGACTCTGTAGACTCCTGTCACTAGCCTGCCTCAGTTTCTCTGACTGTGGGCATTTCCGAGAATATCCTGCCTGCACTACCTGGAAACCAAGTCACAGCCTTGGAGCAGGGCTTCCTCTCTAGGAATGGAAGAAGGATAAAATGCAGACAACAAAGGGTGGCCTTGGGGACCTGGGCCTTCCTTCTCTTTTGCTTCTGCCTCCTCCTGCTTCTCCTGCTTTCTCCTTTCCTTTCTTTTCTCCTCCTCCTCCCGTGGCCTCCTTCCTGCTGTACTGTGTAGCCCCGGGCCCAGCTCACGGGGGCGGAGCAGAGGTGCTCATGTGGCTGTAGGAGTATCTGGACAAAGACGCCCCTGTGGTCCTGCCTTCCTCCTCCTCTCCCATCTCTCCTCTCACCCCAGGGGTACCTGGGTTGGGACAGCAGGGGAAGGTGGCCATGAAGCCAAGACGGAATCGTTTGTTCATGAAGCAGTAGATGATGGGGTTGACGCAGGAGGAGGTGTAAGAGAGCAGGAGGATGAAGGAGATAGGTGTCCCAGAGAGGTGGCGCTCGGCAGAGACGGTGTCGTATGCCCGCCAGGCATTGGCGCTGAAGATGGGCATCCAGCACAGGAAGAAGAGGACCACAATGACGATGAGCATGCGGATCACCCGCTTTTTGGCCATCAAGTTGGCGGTGGAGCTGCTGCTCCGGATACGATTGATCCTGTTGCTGCCACTGCTGCTGGGGGACAGCTGCCGAAGCTCCAGCTTTCTGGGGTGCCTGGACTTCTGCAGGTAACACCCATCACTGTCCTCCATCGGGCCACTGCTGCCAGTGCTTGTCTTCCTTTCTGGGTGGGCAAGTGACATCATTTATTGTTTGGCTGGGTGAGGCCAGCCAGGAGTCAGGGATCCCCACCTCCCTCTGCCCAGGAGGCCGAACCAGATCCAAACTGGAGAATCCACTAGACTGCTGTGGCCCACACAGGGTAAGTGTGGATCCACACTCATTCTCAGCTTCAAATGAAAAGCTAGTGGAAACTAATAAAATCATGTATCTGTAGCATAATAGATAATAAAATATCTTGCGTAAAGATTATAAGGATAAAAACTTATTATAGAATAAATATTAGCACTCACAAACACATAAAAGTTTTTCAAATGGGAAGAAAAATAAAGAATATTCATACTCTCTCCCTTCTTTCCCCTTCTCCCCAGGAGAAGCTCCTGCCCACTTGTAAGTTTTGATTACTTTTTAGATAAATGAGAAAAAGTCAAGGAAAACCACAGAAAGCAGAGAGACTTAGTTATCTCCATAATAAGGAGCTGATCAAGGGGGTAGGGGGCAAAGGTTATGTCAACACAGGTACCAGGGACAACTTCAGTGGCCAGTGGCTTGGATGGAATGGGAGAGTGAGGCACTGTGGCCCCTGCTGTGTGGGAGTGAGAGGAGAGAGATAGGGAAAGAAAGCAACAAAAAGCTGGCTCACAGTGAGCTTCCAGCGAGGAAGGGTCTGTTTGCAACGCTACAGATAGGAGAGACACATAGTCCTCCTCTTACAACTCAGTCATATGGGTATCATTTTCTTTTAGCCCATTCCGTACGCTTGTGAGAAGAATTACTGGATTTCCCCACTTTACAGATGAACAGATACAAAGAATCTGGGCTCTTGTGTCTGTGCCTGTCTTGGAAGAATATTTTCAAACATCTCCAGTGTCCTCAGAACATGCTCCTGGTAGAACCATCCCAGTGATAGAAAACCAGCGCCTGTGCTCTTCTGCATAAACACACAGCTGTAAGGTAGTTACCTTTAGCAGATTTCTTCTGGATAGCATCGAATTTTATTCCTTGGTAAAGTTCCAGAGAAATCAGTCCATATGCCACCATCATCACAATTCCGGGAATAAGAAAGAGGATGAGTAACAGGAAAGTGTGCCTGATAACATTAAAGGAAATCCAATAACCAGCAACTCTTGACCCTCAAACTCCAGTGGGAAGGGATGACGAGGGGACGTTTTTATTTTATTTTATTTTATTTATTTATTTATTTATTTATTTTTGTCTTTTTCATTTTTATTGGTACCAGGGATCGAACTCACGACTGCCTGCTTGCAAGGCAGGCGATTATGCCGCTGAGCTAAATCCCCAGTCCCTGGGAAGTTTTTATTTTAACTGGCCTGAGCAGACACATTAATTGCTTGTCTTTCATATTGTTGGAAAGTTCATGTCTGGCAGTTCAGTCCTTGGAAGTTGTTTATTTCTTTTTTCTTTCAAGATAAAGACCTTAGGAAGCACAAGTTAAATGGAAAAAGATTGGCCTCATTCTGCGCTTGAAACAAGTTTACATATTACAAATAGCGAACAGGCTGGCGTGAGTCCACGTGCCTGTTGTCCCAGATACTCAAAGGGGTGGTGTGGGGGATCACTGCAGCCCAGGAGTTCAAGGCCTGAGGTCCACACAAGAAGACCCCCTCTCAAAATAAATATTAATGAAAACTTAAAAAATATTGAGAGTAGATAAATTATATCTCGAAGCTATTACCAAAATTAAACATGAGAACTTACATTCATTGAGGCCTTATACTATGAGCTTCCTGCTACGATAAGCATTTCACATATATGACTACATACAACTCCCATAATAACCTTTGAAGTAGATACTGTTATCCTAATATCTATATTATAAATGAGGAGATTGAGATTTAAAGAGACCAAATAACTTGTCCAAAGTCACACAGCTAGTGGCAGGGGTAGAATTTGAACCCCAGGAACACAGTTCTAGAGCCTGTGTCCTTAGGCACCAACATTCATAACTTGTTGACTGTATGACAAGAGAAAATTGAATACTTCACTGTGGGTGATGGGAAACCTCCTTTTGGTTTCGCAGCATGCAGCCTCTGGCTGCTTTTGAGCCACAAGCAGCTCACAAGTGGCTGTGGGCATCCATTCCCTGAGACCTGAAAAGTTTGTACAGTGTCACACTCATATCGTGCCTGTGATACCTGAGGATTCACAGCCTCCTGCTTCATGAATCTGGCCCCTAAATCACTTGTGCAGTCTGGCATGTGTCAGGTAACACGATTAAGCCATAAAATTGTCAGAGGCTTACAGTGCCTGGGCCATTTCTCATTGCAATTGGACATGCTTTGATAAGATTCCCTTTCAGGTTTTGGTAATAGCCCTCTTTTTTTTGTGGCATAAATCTTGAGTGCTACTGGGTTGGAATGAATGAGAGAGACAAGGAAAGCAGATGTGATTGAAGTTTTGAGCTGCTCTGATTGACTATGAGCCCTGCTTCTGAAACCTTGGTGGAATTAGTAAAAGCCCCCTGCATTTGTCACCCTTTGTAAAGACGTTTTATATCCATGCTCTCATTTGAACTGTGAAGCAACTCAACGAGTTAGATTTTAAAGATCTGTATAATTAATGCTTTGTAGAGCTAAGGAACCTGAAATTCAAATTATGGGAACTTGTCTGAGGTCACCCAGCAGAAAAGCCCAGCACCTAGTAATAGAATCCCACCTTATTCTGGTGAACTATCTGGATGAGCACCACAGCTACAGGTTTCATAAAAGCTGTGCAGTACTTGGGACTCACTCTCAGCTCTGTCTTCAGTTTTAGAAGAAATTTAGAAAATCAGAGCTCTCCAAGCCATCCAGCCCACCTTCCATGCAATCATCTGGTGGCATTTTGCACGAAGGCTCTGCCCCTGCCCAGATTCATGAGTTTGGGCAATTTAGCCTTTCCAAATCTGAGCTTCCTCATCTGTAAAATGGACACAACAATAGTGCATGCTCTGTAGGATTTGTGGAGGGTTAATGGAAGCAATACACAAGTTCACATGTAGCATTTAAAACAGAGTTCTCTACCACAGTGTTCTCACTGTCATCCTTAGAGCCAGGATAGAATAATCCCCCTCAAAAAGCATCTATGACACCAATCTCCCAACTAGTCTGAGCAAGGCATTCCCATTTTTCATATTATAAACTTAAAACAAGTTATGTACAAATATATGCATGATGGCACCTTACCAGGTCTGCTGCATAACATCGTTTGGCAGTAGGAAGCGGCACATGTTCCCGGTCTGGTTGTTATTTTTGGTAAAAGGCACCAGGTTGCTGTAGATGGGGTAGGGGGTCATGATGGTAAAGGAGAGGCACCAGGTAGCAGCAATCACCTTCAAAGCATGCGACTTTGTTTGCCAGACGCGGGACTGTAAGGGTTTGCAAATTGCTCCGTATCTCTCCAGCGATATGGCCACCAGATTAAAGGTGGATACACTCACAGAGGTGCCTGGGAAGAAGCAAAGAAGCTGGTTATGCCAGCGCTGAAATCCGAAGTTTATCTGCCCATTAACTTTAAGCATATGGGATCTGTACAGTTTAATATCAAAGGGAGGAAGAAATATTGCATGTGTATATTTTAAAGAGATGATTTATTCTTAGCTTTCTTCCAAAAGGATTTAAGGCAGTTAAGGAAATGTATTTGCAAATATATCTACTGCCTGTTTTCAGATAAGTTTATTGAGCTTTGATTGCAATCTAACTCCTGGTTAGGCTGAATGTGCTCATTAATTAATAACCAAGGAGATAAAAATACATTGCTACCCCGCAGAAAAGGATTTTGAGAAATCTAGAGAAGAGCACTAATCAAAACTAGACATGGCAATGCATGATCTGTATGGTTAAACTGACCTGAAAATCCAAGATTCTCAAGGACTCTATAACCCTGAAGGGTCACTGGAGACTGAGCTGGAGGCACTAATTTTCTAAAAATTCCTAGTAAATACTGTTTGTTTTTTAAAGAGAAATACACTTAATTTTAAAATGTAATCCATTACAAATAAATAGTAAAAAAGATGGAAGAGAAAAGATGCATGCTCTAACTAAAGGTTGCTTTGGGTGAGGGTCTAGGGTCTTCCTGTTCACTCTTCTTGCTGTTCTATATTTTGCAAAGAGAGCACACATTAACCTTACGGTGTGAAAAGCTTCAAATATATCAGGTGCAGAAACATACTTTTGGGCATAGTAATAAAAAATGCCTAATTTCCTTTAATATTTATATTGAGTATATACACTTATTTGAACATCTTTTTTTTATTTAAAGAGAAAAAAAGAAAGGACATAAAAAAACAAAACAGTAAAAGGGTACAAATAATACAGTATTTCAAGAAAAAAATATACAGTAAGAAATCACCAGTTAATAGGTTACATATTATCTTCCCAGGAACAGTTGTCCAAATTACAAAATTAAAGCATATAAAGTTGACATTCATACAGTGAAATTGGAGACAGTTCCGTTCAATGATCCAACAAAAGCTCAGTAATATGGTTTTCCATCCTACACACTCGAACGTACCTGTGGTTATATCCCTTAGTCCACCTTCCTTTCCTCTCTTTTTTACAATAACAATTAGACTTTTTGGGTTTTATTACTCCCACAGTTCTTATTACTTTTTTTGAAGAGAATAAAATCAAATGTGACTAAGCAAAACAGAGTCAGTTAGAACAGAAGGGTGGGCATAGCACATGATGCAAAAATAGAATACCAGGTGATCAAAAGTAATTACCATTGTGCCTCTTGCTATTTTTAAATTGAGTGGCCTATATCATCAGGTGTAATAGAATTGATCAAAACAGTACAGAACAAGACCAATAAAACCTACACTGAAGACCTTGCAGGACTTCAAAGAAAGGATAATAGTCAAACCATAATGGGCATCATATATATCTTATTGCCTTCAGAGTGGTTGCCTATATCCTCAAACTTGATTATTTGAACATCTTAACCCTTGAAAGTTTTCCTTTGAATTCTTTAGCCATGAATTCTACCCATTTTGAGTCTTTCTCCCTGTGATTTTTCAAAGCTCAGGATTAATATAGATTTGAAAACAGAGTTTTTAACCTGACTCTTTAGAACCTCACTATGTATATGGTTATAAATAATGCTCTGAAATTATGCACAAAATTAAACTTATTTTTGCACAGCTGGATTTATCTTTTCTTTGTCTTAGAGGAGTCTGTGACTCTATAACCCTTGAATAAAAGCTGACCGTATGGGATAGGATTGGCTTGGTTTTCCTGGACGTCACCCTTAAGAGTTAATGACATAGAATTGAGAGGATGGACCTGTGCACTGTTGGTTTTTGTTCTGTGTAGTAGACTCACTGTAACCTTGAGCTCACTGTCAGGAGAGCACTCATCCCCTTTCTTTGGATATAAATAAAAAGGTTTAATACATTTAGTAATAGTGTTGAAGAGGCCACAAAAACCCCCAAAGAATCCAAATCCCTAGAACTAGAAATTCAACGTTAGTGTGAACTCCCCAATACTTTCAGAATTAGCTTTTCTTTTTGCCTGTTTAACTTTTTTAAAAAATTGAGGCAAAACTCATATGACACACAGTTAACCATATCAAGGGGGCAGTCCCACGGCCTTCCCACTGCTGTGTGACCAAGCACACACTCCCTTGCAGGCTCTTAGAGCTTTCTGGTCATTGCAGCCTGTCCTAGCCCAGCCCAGGCTGCATATGTCACAAGCCTTGAATCAAAACAAGAGAACAGTCCCCCCAATATTTCCTACCTCTCCTTCTCTCCCAGCTAATTCTCAGACTGGCCAAGGAACATAGCACCTGGGTGGACAAAGACCGAGACACATTACTTTTCTGGTGCTTTAGGAGAACTGCAGCTGTCAGCAGAGGCAGCGTGCTCACCACAGGGGTGGTGGTGGCAAATCCCTGCCGTGTCAGTTACCACCTGTGTGCTCTTCAGCACCTGAGCACCTCTCTATGCCTCTGTTTCTCCTTGATGAGAGAGGCAAGGATAATTGCATTTACCTCATAGCACGGGTTGGGAGAGGAAGTGAGTAAAATCACTGCTCTAGGTCTGGGCAGCAAAGTACTCACAGAATATTGGCTCTTGTGATTTTTATTGCAATTACCGTTTTGTCATAAGTAGACAGCTGTGGATCTCAGGGTCAGTGCGAGTGATCCACAGCTCCCAGGCACACATTCACTCTTCATTAGGGATTAGGGGCAGAGACTTCTGTCTCTCTGTCTCTCTCTCTAACTCTCTGTCTCTCTCTTCTCTGTCTCTGTCTCTCTCTCTCCCTGTGTGTGTGTGTGTGTGTGTGTGTGTGTGTGTGTCTCACTCTCTCCCACCTTTCGCCCTCTGCCTGAGATGCTCCTGGCCATTTTGGGGAACAATCTGGAAAGTGAGTCTTGAGAAACTAGACCTGGGACAAAACTGGTTTAAAAATAACCTCTGTTGGGAAAGAAAATAAGACACACAGTAGCAAAGAGTGCTCCTCCATGACCTCAACAGTTCCCAAGTTGGGGCGAGATCAGCATACCATCATCCACTCCCAGAAAGGTTAGCAACTGGAAGTCACTTTGCTTTTGGTACTGGGGATTGAACCCAGGGCCCTGTGTGTGTGAGGCCAGCACTCGCCCTACTTTTGAATCCTTCTCTCCCTTTGAGCTGGAGCAAGCATACTTAAAGTTCTATATGTTTCCATCTGGACTTCTGACATAGGACACGAGTCTGTGCCCTGGTGGTATAGGAGAATTGGCCACCCACAAAGCCAGCACCTGTACCCTCGCATGTAGCCCTGCATAGCCAGATGTTGAGCATTTCAAACTCTGAGGGGCTCGGGAAGGTCTGGCACAGAGGCGGATCTGGAGGCAGCTCTGCAGATAGCTCCTGGCAGCAGCAGCTTACCCATGAAGTAGGTGGTGGTCTTGCACACGGCACTCCCGAAGATGAAATCCTTGAGCAGGCTGGGGATGAGGTTGAAGGGCATGCAGAAGAGGCAGAGCATGAGGTCACTGACAGCCAGTGAGAGCAGGAAGATGTTAGTGACCGTCCTCATCCTCTTGTTCCGAATCAGCACCGTGATTACCAGCGTGTTTCCCAGCACGCTGAGCAGGAATATCAAGGAATACAAGAGAATCTGCACCGCCGGCTGCCACTCTGCAGAGGGACAGGGACAGCACAGCGGCAGGAGGCCGATGATGAGAGCAGAATGTTAAAATATTACTGCCGCTTCCTGCCCGCCTCCCCAGCGACCCCTGAGCTTCCCACATAGGCAACATTTTGCAGAAACAAACTGAGCAAAGCACAGGGCGATTCAGTTGCTTTTGAAAGGTCGGCTTGTTAAAGGATCGCTCAGGATACCACTTCTTCTTAAGGACAACGCGGCTGAATAGAGCTAGCTTTCTGTCTCAGAGGTTAAGCATTATTTTGCTCCAATCACTTCGTCACGCTAGGTTCCCCCAAGAAAAGGCAACTGCTCCATCGTGACAGCCCCTTTTCTGTGGTGTTTGTAAGTTCAGGCTGTCACACTTGTACTCATTTCTCACTGCGTTCAGCTCTGCCTCCCCCTGCATTTGTCTTCCCCGAGTCCCATGCCTGGGTCTCCAACTCTCCCACAGAGTATAGTACAATTATTTTGACTCCAGGCTGCTTTTGATCTTTTCATCCAAACTCTGGAGCATATGACTTTACCCAGCCTGTCTCACAAATGACTTTGTTATGTTTTCTTTATCAGTTTTGCCTTGGCGGATTGCTCCTCTCAACTCAGGAGTTTTTTGAATTAAAATAATAGCCTCTGGCACCTACCTTTGGAAGGCCGGGGCCGATCCAAGCAGAAAAGTGTCTCATTTTCAAAGCCGAGCTCGCAGGCAGAAGTGATGTTGCTCCCATTCACAAAAAGGCTGTCTACCACGTCCATCCTCGCCTCTGCTTCCCACCAGGGGCTGGCGGGCTGGCAAACAGCTCTCTCCACGCTCATTCCTCTGATGACCAGAGCGCCTCCCAAATGCAACCTGCCGGGGAGAGGCAGGCAGAGAGTGATTGCCAGGTGTGGGCTTTTGCAGCCATTCCTAAAGGCACCTGGAGTTCACTACCCTCCGTCCAGCTGGGCACGCATCTGCTCTCCTCTGGTGGAGAAGGCAGTTGGTGCAAGCCCAGCCACCCCACCTTCCAGGCCTTCCCCGCCCACTCCTGGGCCAGCTTCGGGTCCTGAGCATGGACAGCCAGGCTGCAGGTTAACTCTTTCCAGCGTGTGGCCGCCTTTATACATGTGCACAATCACGTGCCCACACTCTTTCCCGGGACCTGTCTTCTCTGTGTAGGAACCTGTCACTGTCCCAGACATGCTGAATGAAGCCCAAAGTGGCCGTGTGAGACAGACCCAATTAACACAGTCACCAATTTGATAATGCAGCCCATCAGGACTCAGGGAGACGGAGGGCCTGTGCGCCTACCTCTTTACATAAAAGCTATTAGTGCCTCTTTAGCTTTGGCATGGTGCCCAGCAATGTGTGTGGATTTAGCTGCTGGGAGGTTGTTAAGTTGTTACCAAACACACTGTTATTTATTGTGGTTTCTATCTTTGTTAACCAGAATGAGGGGGCACTTATGACTATAGTTCCCTGGATCTTTATTACAAAACAAAATAAGGTCTCTCATTTATGCATTATTTATCCTTTCATTCAGCACATATTTGCAGAGAGTCAGCCATGGGCCGGGTACTTCTCTTGCACATCAGCAAATGAGTGAGGAAGGGCATTTCAGACAGTGCTGAACACCAGGCAGGAAGTTGGGCAGGGGGAAGAGATGGGTGGAGATGGAGTCACGATGCTACTTCCTCAGAGTGGTCAGGAAAGGCCTCCCTGAAGAGGAGATCGTGATCTCAGACCAGTCAGCAAAGCAGAAAAAGGCGGAAGCTTCTCCTAGGCAAGAAGAATGGTATTGTCAGGAGAAGTGCAAGGGCCCTGAGCTCAGAAGTAGATGTGTGTGAGTGGCGGGTGTGAGGGTCTGGGTTTTTCGGGAAGTCCTGTGGTGCTTGAAAGCCCCAATCAACCCACTCTGCAAAAGTTCTTCCCAGTTTGGACATTTGGGAAGCAGGTGGCAGCCCCAGGACCTGTGTTGTGGCTTATGCTTAGCTGAGCTGACGCTCCATCTGTTTGCTGGGCCCCTCTGGGGCTCCAGTGTGGTGACAAGTCTTCCCTGGGTGGAGCTGCAGGATGAGTCTTTGCTGAGTCCCTTCCAGGCACATGGGTTTGCGTGGAGGCTGGGAGACAGAGGCAGTCCCCTATGAGCAGGTCCTGTGTGGGCAAAGGGGCCTTAAAGACCAGAAGTGGAGAAGCTGTGGGTAGTATCAGGGCAAGTTTTGGCATGGGGTGGATTTGGGAGCAAATCCTGGCTTTTCAGTCACCTGCTGGAAAACCCTGCAAGTTTCTAAACCACACTGCAGCTTGCTCTCTTCATGCGGCAGTGTCAAAGGGGCAAAGTGACGTCGCAGACATTGGTAATGAAGATGGACCGACCAAATGGAGACAGAGACAGTGTCTGACGCACAGGGCATGTTCACTAAACCAGATGACAACATTAATAGCCTTCTAATAATAACTCTATTTTCCAGATGAGAAGACTGAGACCCAGGGACGTGGTTGAGAAGAAGCCAGGATGTCCCCACCCTCAAGCCTCATCCTCAGGCCCCTCCTGCAGTCTCTGTCCTTCTCCCTGCCACTTGTGCTGTCCCTGTCTGCAGATGGTCACCCTCCTGTCCACTGGAGCTGCCTGGGCAGTGGTGCCCTGATCCGACAAGGATCAGCCTTCAGGTTTGACTCCGGCTACAGTGAAGTTTTAACTTATTGTTCTTGCTGGTAGCCGACTGCCTAAATGGCAGCATCTAGCCAGAAATTCCTGGCATAGAGGGCCACTGACTCCCACTGAGCTCCACAGGGACATCAGCACCGGGGGCGCGCACTGAGGTACCCTCAAAGTCTGAAGTAGGGACACTGGTACTGACCTGCCTGAGCTGAAAACAAGTCCAACCTGGGCGAGTAGCCCCCTCCTTTTCTGTCTTGTTTTTTCTTTTATGCCCCTTGGTTGGCATGAAGAAGACAGGAATGCAGCGTGAGTGAGTGCTGTGATCACGAACTCTACTGTTGTCTTAGTTACTCTTCTTGTTGCTGAGACAAAATACCCAACACCGAAATTTAAAGAAGGAAAGGTTTACTTAGCTCATAGTTTGCAAAGGTTTCAGTGCATCACTGGCTGGCTCCAAGGCAGCCAGACATTGCAGAGGAGAAGCAGTTCGTGATGAGTAGAAGGTAGCAAAACAGGCAAACGAGAACTATAACCCTTTCTATTCCTTGTATTTTATCCAGGCTACTTATGACAAGCCGCACTCACCCCTTAATCCTAGCACCCTTGAGCCTAGCATTGCACCAGGAATCAATACCAGCATCACACACTCTAGAACCAGCCATCTCTGGAAAAGCCCCGCCTGTGATTGCATGAGGCTTTGTGAGGATATCTAGGCACAGCTGCAACCGCTGTGTGTCTAAATCACCAGCGTGAGTGAGAATTTCCAGGCTTCCTTCACCTGCAGGGCTTCTGGTTCATCAGCTGCAGGCCTGAGAATCTGCTTTTTTCCTTCTGTTGGCTACCCTGGGGATTGAACCCAGGTCTTTTGCATGAAGATACATCTTCAGACCTTCTTATATCTTTTATTTTGATGCACAGACTCGTTAAGTTGGTAAATTGCCTAGGGTGGGCTCTAACTTTCAATCCTCCTGCCTTAGCCTCCCAGTCTGCTGGGATTACAGGTGTGCATTACCGGTGTCATTTTGACCCCAAGTTCCTGATGACCTGAAGCCAGTGACCCCAGGACTGAGCATGGGGAAGAGCCTGGGGAGTCTGCAAGGCAGTGAGGGCCGCATCGGACTACAGGAATCTGACTGTGGGCTTCACACTGGCCCACAGTGGAACATGGCCACACTAATTCAATCTCTCCAAGACTCAACTTGCTTGTCTGTAAGCTAGAAGTTATTTCTACTTATAAGCTAAACAGTACATGGAAATCACTTAGACCAGTGTCTGGAGCATAGCTCTGGATACTGACATAATTAACAGATAAAAGTGATTCTATGGCTGCTGTCTTTATTTCCATTACCACAGTCAGATTAAGGCTTCTCATCAGCACCTAGCACATTGCCTGGTATATAGTAGGTGCTCAGCAAATGTGAATAACAGTAAACAGTTAGGATTGCCAATATTTCAGGGTTCACTCTGCCCTTTGCTAACTCCGTGCATTGTCTCTTTTCTTGGCCAACTCTTCTGGAGTTTTTAGTCTCAGCTTTTGAGCCTGTGTTATGTTACACTTAAACTCAAAAAGAATTCTAGTGAGAGATTTTGGGGTTTCCAGAGAAAAGCAGGTGCATTTCCAGCTTCCAGGCCTGTTTTCTTCCTTAACACACTTTTACTGGGTGTCTTGATAGTGCTAGGGGCTGAGCTAGCTGCTGAGATCCTTGGAACCAAACACTGAACTCCTGCCCTGTATTCTTTAGGGTTCTTTAAAGGAGCAGGATTGATAGGAAATTACACAAGGGTATTTAATAATAGGATCACAGGCTCAAAGGTGGAGTCCATTGAAGGCATGGAAGTTGTCTGTAGTGTCAGCAGTGTGAGTGAATTGGAAGGGTGAAGAGATGGGGACAGATGCCCAAAGCCAAAGGCGAAGACTAGAGCTCCACACAGATGGGAACAATTCCTGTCTTTCCCTTTTTATTCAGTCCAGGTACAAGCTTATTGGCTGGTGTTACCCACATCTGGGGCAGGTCTTCCCTCCTGTTTGCTGACTCCCATGTCAGTCATTTATAGGCACTACCAATCTACCAGGTGATTCCTACTCAAGTCAAGTTGACATATCACAATTATCAATCTTGTGTCCTTATAAAATGCTTGCTATGTGTAGAAGACACAAGATGAGGGGATGGGGCAAAAGGGAAGTGTTTCTCTTCTCAGAGCCCTTCCTCAGATTGGGAACAGATCCGGAAAAAAGGATAAAAATCGATTATGTTGAACAGGAAGGGCTTAAGCCCCTCTCTTCTCTCTGAGACGTACAGTGCTGGATAGGGCATCAGCCTCCGGCAGGCTGCAAAGCCCTCTGGGGATCTGGGCCTTTCTTTTCTGCCAAATAGCAAGAAGAAAAGAACATGAGCAATTGGAACAGATTCTCAGGAAATGATATTATTAACTTCTCCCCAAACTATTCCTCATCCAAAGGACAGTTATTCTAAAACCCTGGAAATATTTCTATGTGTTTTTCTTCATTATAACATTAATCACACTCTCAATGTCAACTTCTTAATAAAGAAAAGGGGAGGTATAAATTTCAGGGGCTTGCATGATTTATTCTTAATACTTTTTTTTTTTTTCCTAGAGAAATTTAGTTCAAAAGCCAGAGGTAGTTAACAGGCAATTGCGTGTATGACAGCCCCAACTGACAGGGCAATGTGACATTTCTGAAATCCTCTTGCCTCTCTGCTGTTCTCGTGATTCTGCTGTGCAAATGTTGCTGTGCACATTTATCATTCCTCTCTCCTGCCGGGCTCCCCCGGCTGCACCTTCAAGGGTTTTTCTGGTCCTCTCTACACTCACTCCCAGCTTTCTGGAAGTGACCATTTGGGCCTCCCTCCTTCTCACCGGTGTGCGTGCCAACTGGGTCACTGATGAGGGTGGGTGCCCGAGGTCTTGTGTGACCCTCTCCCCACAGGGGTGGTTGTGACCAGCCCCGTGTCCTTCCCCCAGTGGCTGCCCTTCTGGAAGAAATCACACTGTAGTCTGGCCTGTGAATCACTCACCTCCTTGAGACACAGGAAGCCAAAGGTCGTGTCTTTCCGATGAGGCTGTCACTTATAAGCCACTGCTGGGCTTTGGGCAAGTCGCTTCACCTCTCTCTGTCTCCATCTCCTTGCTGTTCCCAGGACAATTTCCACCTTTGGGGTCACTGGGATTCACATAGCACGGTGTATCTGCAGCACCCAGCACAGAGCCTGGGTGTCACGGGGATCAGTGCACCAAGCTTTATGTTGCCAGGGACAGGAAAATATCCTCATGTCACTGTCTTGGGGAGGAC